TTTTTTAGAGTGTCGATTCTTGTTTGTGATAAGCGAGCCGTCATGGTAATTGAATTTAATTCCACTCCCAGATAAACAATTGTCTGGGCCGGGAAAATCGAGCTTTTCTTCCAATTTATGGCGAAGCCCAGATTTAGCAGGTGTGATGCCAACACCTGAGCCTGTATCAATGCTTCCTGTCTGGAGTGAGACAGGAGCAGCAGGTCGTCCAGGTAAAACAAAACTCTCATCCCTGCTCTGTGCAGTGGATGCAGGGCTGTCTCCACACACTTTGAGAACGTACGAGGTGCGAGGGAGTACCCGAAAGGCAGCCTGTTGTACTGGTACTTCATCCCTTGAAAGGCGAAACGCAGAAATTTTCTGTGTTTTGGGATGATTGGTATGTGAAAATAAGCATCTTTTAGATCGATGGAAACAAACCAGTCGTTTTTCTGGATGTTGTCCAACAGCTGTCTGTTCGTCAACATGTGAAAAGGTCTGTTCATGATCGCTTTGTTGAAAGCTGACAGATCCAGAATCGGTCTCATCCCTCCGGTCCTTTTGGGGACCAGGAAGTAGCGTGAGTAAAACCCTGTGTTTTCCTCCTCGTTGGGAACTCTTGAGATTACACCTTTTATCAGAAGCTCCTGGACTTCTGCATTTAAGGCTGAGACTTGGTCTGGTGATGATAGGACCGTCTCTATAACTCCTCCGAACGGAGGGGGTCGGGTTGCAAACTGCAGCGTGTAACCCTTGCATAACACTCTGTCCATCCATCTGTCCGGTGAGCATGTTTTTAACCACTCTGCGTGACGTTCGTGGAGTGGACGTGCGTTTAAATGATGTGCCGTGTTTTGAACGGATGTCATCCAAACCTCCGCCTCGACCGCCGTCATGCGTCGCGGAAATGTTTTCCGCGTGACCCAAGGCGAGGCTTTCTCGAAAGGGCTGTTCTGCGCGCGCCCGTGCGCTGTGACTGGATCGCGGACCAACCTTCATGTCCGGGCGGGGCGGTGTGCGCTGAGGCGAGGCGTGTGTCAGCTGGTGACGTCCAGAGGCTGCACGTTTAACGTCGCTGTGCGAACGTTGAGAGGTGGAGGGCGTGACGTCATCAACGCCGTGCTGTCGAAGTGAAGGTTGTGAACTTCGCGGGAGCGCACGTTTCCTCTGGAGGGACGCGCGCCGCTCTCGCTGAGGGCGGGGCCCGTCATTGGATTCATTCAGCTGTCTCACGCTTATGTCGCCGTGAGCTGCTGATCGCAGAGGCGCGATGGATGACGGCTGTTTGCGTTTATTCAGGAAAAACGTGTGTTGTTTTTGCTGAGAGCGGGGACCTCCACCGGACCCGGCCTGCGGTCCCACATTTATCCCGATGTGAGCCGGTGAGCGCCGGGCAGCTGTGCGTGCATCATCGGCACAGTGCCGTTTGGATGGACGCTGCTTGTCTCGCTCGGGTGCGCGTTTAACACCGTTTGAGTGGTGATCGTGCGGTTCTGTTTGACAACAAGATATTTCGCTTACCGTGGTGTCACGTGAGCGTCTGGGCATGTGAAGGAGCGGCGGTGGGTTTAAAAAACCTTTATTTAATGCCACCGGCTCTCTCTGTGTGGAGGATGTGTGTGTAGCGGCTGTGAGCTCATCCGAACTTACAGACTGGCTAAAAACAGGCATTCTGATTTTTGAAAAATCATTTATTTCACTTCCTGTTTCGTTCATACACACATCCCCCGCAGACCGTCATTTCTTAAACCTTCTCCCTCGTGAGCTCTGCGGTTTGTTTGACCCGAGCGCCGTCTGCAGGCGATCTCTGGGGAAACGCTGAAGTGCAGGCTGCCGGGCTGAGGAGGGGTGGTCTCTGGCGGGCGGGGCTGGTGGTGGAGCTGGGCGAGACGAAGCTGCTGCTGCCGTGGAGCGTCGGTGCTTCTGCCTCTGCTCTCGACGATCCTTCCAGCGAGCTGGGGGACGGGATGAGCCGCGCGGCTTGATGAGATGACGTACCGCTTCCGACATCTCCTCCGACTGCTTGGAATTCGCCAGCATGGTCTTCAAGCTGCTTCCGAACAGCGCGTCCGATGAGATGGGGCCCTCCATGAGGTCCTTGTGCAGCTTTTCCGGCAGCAATGGAGAGTGACGGAGCCAGATGGAGCGTTGGATTACCGTCATCCATGAAGCAATCCTCGACAGGCAAACCGTGGAAGCGGCGCACATGTTGAGGACGGCGTCTGCCGATTTACACAGGGAGCTCTTTGTCTCCTCCGGCAGGCCTGAGGCCTCCAGCCTCTTCGACATGCTAAATGCTAACAGCGCCACGTTGTTGTTAGCCGCGGCCGCCTGAAAAGCACACTGGTGGGCTCTGTTGGAGAGCGCGGTCGCCACCTGGTCGTGTTTCCCCGGAGGGACGGGACACTTCTCCAGCCTGGACATCTTCGCTCCGAAGGCTTCCGCGAGGCTTGGCTCAAGGGGGGGTACCGAGGGAAAGCCCCGCTCGGTGAACCCCTCCACTCTGGTGATGGGGGCGTAAGTGGAGACGGGCGCCCTTAACCTACCAGGACCGGCTGCGGCCTCGTTCCAGTACGCTGTCACCGCAGGAAAACGAGGCCAAATGGGATCAGGACGGCGAGCCGGCGTGGAGCCAAACCTTCCCGCAAGATCATCCGATCTGAGCGGGGGGGGTGAGGGGACGGAGAGCCCCTTAACGCTAGCAGCTTTCCGGATAATGGCGGGCAGCTCCGAGAGGAGCGCGCCCACGGCAGGGAGCGATGTGGTCGCTGAGGCGGGAAACCCCGGGGGAGTCGAGCATCCGCTCGGCCTCCCTCTTTCCAACACTGCGCTCCCCGGGAGGGAACGAGCGTCGGGGCTGCTGCTAGCGTCACCGGTCCCAGAGGAATCATCCGATTCACTCCGAGAGCCGGCGTCGAAGAAATCCATGGCGTCGTCCAGCGAACAGTCTCCCGCCACGGACAGGCAGTCCTCGATGGTAGCCTTAAACAAGGCTGCTCTCCTCTGTCTTTCCTCCGGTGGAAGCTCGTCACAGAGGCGGCAGGAGGAAGCGCGAGCGACGTGGCGGGGACCCAGGCATCCCTCGCAGGTGTCGTGCCGGTCGAAGCTAAGCAAGTAGCCGGTCTTGCACGAGGGACACAAACGGATGGTGCTGGAGCTGGACATCTCGACGAAAAAGGTCAGTTTATTCTTGTTTTATTATGCTTGCTGAAGAAAAACTGGGAGCAGATTACCCGCTCTTAACGTAATTTATACGGATCGGGTGGGGCCCACACAGCAGGTGGGCGTGGACTAATTTTTTCAGTACGATGCTTGCGCATAACGGGATAAACCCATCAGCGACAGCCTTAAAGGGCGAAGCCTATATGACATAGAATCTTACTTCTAACCTACAAAGCTCTCAACAACCTAGCTCCGTCTTATATTACAGATCTTATTGTTCCACATTTTCCTAACAGAGCACTTCACTCTCAGACTGCAGGTTTACTTGTGGTTCCTAGAGTTTCCAAAAACAGAATGGGAGGCAGATCTTTCAGTTATCAGACTCCTCTTTTGTGGAACCAACTTCCAGTTTGTGTCCATGAGGCTGACACATAGTCCAGTTTTAAGACTGGGCTCAAGACTTTCCTTTTTGATAAATTCTATAATTAGGGTCCACTTGGGTTTCCTGAGGTATCCCTTAGATATGCTGTTATAGGCTCAGACTGCTGGAGGACAAACTGACCTCATTTCCTCACTCTGCTGCTGTCTTTACTTGCTCTCCTCTACCTGTTTTGTATTTGTAACTATTTTTATCCTTAACATGTTTTTTGTCTTTCTTCCAATAGAAAGTACATCTGGACCTGCCATTGTGTATCTGTTCCTTCTTCCTGTCAGCCGGTCAGAATAGATGGCCGCTCGTCCTGAGACTGGTTCTGCTGGAGATTTCTTCCTGTTAAAAGGGAGTTTTTCCTTTCCACTGTCTCCTTTGTGCTTGCTCAGGATGGGAGACTGTGATGAAGTGAAGATTCAACACAATCTGTTGCTTCCTTAGATAGAGAACTTCACTATTGACATTTTTATGTATGTGAATGTTTCTGTTCAGTGCCTTAGGACAACTTCTGTTGTGACTTGGCGCTATATAAATAAGCTGAAATGAATTGAAATAAAGTTGGATTCATACTCTATGAAAAGTGCTCTTATTGACGTAGTTGTACGATGAAAATGATGTCATTTTGTTCTTCCATGAGCTCCCAGAGACAGTTCTTTGTGCAATGTCCAGGTGGAACTTTTTCTCATAGGGGAATGAGTCTGTCTGTTCATCCGTCCATCCATCCGTCCATCCATCCGTCCATCCATCCGTCCATCCATTTAACCGCTCCTTCCTTTTTGGGTCGCGGAGGTCACTGTTGCCCATGTCCAGCAATCACGGTGTGAGAGGCAGGGGACACCCTGGACAGGTCTCCAATCCATCACAGGGACACAGAGACAAACAACCATTCACTCTCTCTCTCTCTCACCTAGGGACAATTTAGAGTTATCAATCAGTCTAACATGCATGTTTTTGGTCTGTGGGAGGAAACCGGAGTACCCTGAGAAAACCCACGGACGCATGGAGAAAACATGCAAACTCCAGCCAGAAAGGCCTCCTGCTGGGATTTGATCTGGCAACCTTCTCATTGAGAGGCAACAGCTCCACCAACTGCACCTCTGTGCTACTCGGGGTTTGAGTTGAAAATTGTTATTGGTCAGAACTTTGTTGTGAGTGTGTTTATGTGGAAAAACGGGTGAACTACAATGGTCATTGTGTGTCAACCTCTCCGCTGAGGAGCAGGTGTCCGAGGCTTTTAAAAATTACATATTTACAACTGTCCCAGCAAAACTTAGTCAAATCTTATAAAGACGCTCTATGGAGACAGACTGCTTTCCATGGCCGTGCTGGCCTTGAGAGAGAGTGCGCCTTGGCTGGGCATCATAGGGACATGTTTGTAGACAAATGTATATATATATAAAAAGACGCCTTGTTGAGCGGGCTGGCTCGCTGCAGAAGTACATCAGAGCATCTGCCATTTTTAATGTGGCAGAACTGCTGGTCATTTAATACAAAGAAATGAACAGAACTTCATTAAAGCACCGTTCTACAAAGTGTTTTAAGTTGATGCCGGTAATTCACACACACTAATATATCTGGAAAACAAACAGGCACCAAAGACAACATTTGTAACTTTTAATGTTACTTTTAACGTTACTTTTAACATTTCGTACGAGTCAGTGCTCAATGGGGTGTCTACATATTTGTCTGTTGACTGTTCTCTACGTTTGATTGTTATTCTACAAACCATGTCTGTATAATAAAAATGTCTGTGGTAAAAGAAGCAAAAATCTGTACAGGGAAGGAAAACTTTAGCCCCCTGGCAGAGGGTCTTTCCATCAGTTCTGTGCTGCAGTTTCTCATGAAGTATAAAATGTCCATGTGAAGAACATTGTTTTTTTTAGGTGAGTCCCCTTTGCACATTTTTTTTGTTTTTAGCATTATTTACAATTTACCATTAAGAATAGCTCTAATCTTTATTTCTAATATGCAGGATGGTGGAAACAATATGAAATTGGGTTTTGAAACATTCTTTGAACTCACTATATGATCCAGATGCTTAAACCCATAAAATTTATTTTACCTGAGAATAAGAAGTTTTAATATCCATGGAAACGTCAAATGTTGATGTAAAAAGTCATAAAATATTGCTGGTAAATTAATGCGATTTAAACAACACAAGCAGACAGAAACAATATTTTATACTTGTGAAAACATTTGGAAGGAGTTTACAAAAGTTAGTGATGAGAAAGAAAAACATTTGACAACAAATGTGCAAGCAGCAGCAGCTGGCTGTAGCACGTGTGGTGTTTCTGCTAAAATAACAATGTAACGCAAATTTTGCATCAACATAAATATTTGTAAAATACCATTTGAACATTTTATTGCACTCTTAAGATCATGATTCAACAATAAATCTGCAAACACAAACTCTTTTTTTTAAATTTGTTGATCACATCACACACTTTGATCCAGTGACATCAGAGATCTGTGATTTCAGAATATGGATCAAAGCAGCGTGGAGTAGAAACAAACCAGTGATATATCACTGAATTTCATCTTTTGCTCTCAGTAAAATATGTTTTTCAAAACTTGCTATCACTCCAGTTAGCTTAGCTCGCTGAGGTGTAAAAAAACCACACAGAGCATCGATTGAAAGTTTGATCTGAAGGAGGATTATGAGATTATGAGAATTTTCAGGAATGTAATCACTTATGTCTTTTTCTAAAACCACATTTTGACACAAGTGGATTTCTTTTTACATTTCTGCTGTCCTTGGGATAAAAAGATAGCTGGTTTGACACAAAGGCAGCAGGAGGGTTAAATAGATTTACGAGTAATTATATCATGAGCAAAAAGCCTGACTGGAAATATAGCAATAATAAAGTATCGACAAAATACCATAAATAACCACTTGGTTTCTGATGGAAAACTGATTCCTTATTAAAACAAAATATATAACAACATAAAATCATCTTAATCATGTATTTTTTTTTATTGTACACGTGATTACTGGATTGTCAGAGATGTTGGTTGAAAAAGGAAAATTTTGGGGGGAAAATGTATTATTCCTTAGATGTTCTTCAAAAAATTCCACAAAATATTGTTAGAAAAAAAGACTGAATTTTCTAGTAATTCGTTGTTAGTGAAATTAACAATTTCTGAAATATATGTAAAAACATTTCTTAGATGCTTCAAATGTTAGCACCATCTAGTTCCTATTTCTTTTTCACCATTACATTATGGCACAGGGACCAGACTTGCTAGATTTTGACTTTGATTTTAAAGCTGGGAGGGATTTGCTGCGTTTTAACGTGTTTTCAAACTGTGAAGGGGTTTGGTGGTTTTGGTCAGTGAGTAACGCAGCCCCTAACTGTGAATTACCAAATGTCTGTGAGGAAGAACTGGGTTGAAAAGCTGGTAGTTTTAAAGGTGGGAAGACTATCCTGCTTTGATGGGATGGTGTAGCTGACATCGCTGCAGGCACGGATGGGAATGTTGGTAGTTGATGCTGTACTGATGACGATGTATCATTGATTTGGACATTTATTGGTCCTGTGTACTGCAGCAGGTACTCGGGATAGATCTGGTGCTTCTCAAACACAACAAATATAGAGGGGTTTGTGACATTGTTCACACAGCTGTCGTAGAAGTTTGTGTTTCCACCATCTTTGGAAGGAGGTCGAACATAGTGAGAGGATCCTTCGATGTAGCTTCCCACCAGCACCCGGGCGATGAACATGGATTTGACTTGAGTGTCGCCCGTGTACTTGTGGGAGTATGAAGCATCTCGAGCAAAGTAACTACCTGGGTTTAGGATTGGAGAAAACATATTATTAAGGCATGTTTATTTATTGAGACAAAAAAAATTATCTACTAACCATCATGTCTAAAAAATAGGACCAAATCTAAAGTGTCCAAAAATTGCAATATTTCCAAAAAACACTAAAGGTTTCTCAAGGAAGAACTTTGAAAGTGGTCTGGATCAACACTTCAGCATGTCCCACTGAGGTCCACCAGTGGGGCATAAAAGCAGTTTGGTCCAAGTATTACTCTCTAATGCTCAGTCTTTTCATGTTTCTGATGAATCACATGTCTGCAGTGGAACCTGCAGGTTTAAGACTCCCCAGAACTACTAAAACTAAGATCTGCATCTTGAGTTGTTCCTGTGCTGCTCAGCTCTGCTATGCCTCCTCTTTATAGCCCAGCTAGTGATAGATGGGTACTCCCTTGTCCCCCATTTTCAGAACTAGTTGAAATGAAGGTACAGTATGTGAATTTTTACAGTGGATTTTGATATACATACCCAGTCTTCATGTCACGTGAGGACTTGGGGTCTGATAAGTGTCAACATTATTGGTCTTGAGCTCGTTCTTAGTGTTGATTAGACTCCACCATGGTTGTCTCCAATCCTGTGTATAGTTTTCATGGACAGGATCTCAAGGCGTAGTCGAGGAGAGGAGGTTGTCTCGTTTGGGAACCTCAGGGTCTTATCTCTGCTTTATGCGGATGATGAGGTTCTATTGGCGTCTTCAGTCCAAGACCTTTAGCATGCAATGGGGCAGTTCACAGGAGAGTGTGAAGCTGATTGAATGGGAGTCAGTTCCTTTAAGTTTGAGGCCATGGTTCTTGACCAGAATTAGGTGGAATGTACTCTCTGGGTTGCCAAGGAGTGTCTCAGGTCAAGGAGTGCAAGTTGCTGGGTGTCTTGTTCACAAGTGATGGTAGGATTGAGTGGAAGTTGGATTGACGGATTGGGGCCTCATCCTTGGTAATTAAGGCGTTACTTCAGTCAGTTATGGTGAAGAAAGAGCTTAGTTGAAAAACAAAGCTCTCAATTTACTGGTATGTATATATTCCAACCCTCACCTATGGTCATGAGGTTTGGCTCATGACTGAAAGAACAAGATCCTGGATACAAGCATCTAGAATGGGTTTGCTTTGTAGAGTGGCTGGGCTCATCTTTAGAAATAGGGAAAGGAGCTCCATCATCTGGCGGGAGATTGGAGTAGAGCTGCTGCTCCTCTGCATTGAAAGGAGTCAGTTAAGGTGATTTGGACATCTTATTAGGATGCCTCCTGGACGCCTCTCTTTAGAGGTTTTCCAGGCACACTCCACTGGTAGGAAGTCCTGGGGAAGACCCAGAAGTTGCTAGATGGATGGTGTTCCTTCTCTGGCTAGGAAATATCTCATGGTCCCCCAGAATGAGCTGAAAAGTGTTACTGGGGAGAGGGATGTCTGGGTTTCTCCCTTTCCTTTGGCTTCACTGTGCCCAGGTACAGTTCACCATCTTTTTAGATACTACGCAGTCAAGCTCCAACTTCCTGACAGAGGAGTTGAGCTGGGCCAGTGGTGTATCTTGACTGTGTGGCACACGATTCCACCCAACTTGGTGGGTAGCTAGCTGATATTGTCACAGCCAGCTTGCTCTTTATGTATGGGCTAGTCCCCCCTTGGCAGTGCGACATGTTTGGGCTGCACTGAAGAGGAGGCGATTTCATCTTAGCTACACAGGTTGGGCTGCAAACCATTTTCATGTCTATCAAATATTTGCCCTAAGCATATTATTTATTTAAAAGTTTTGGAAAAACACTTGTCTTTGTCATTGCCACCATAAACTTTTGTCTAGGCTGTCCTTGTCAACCTTCTTCATTTTTGTGTCATAGCAATTGAACCATAAATTTGCTCTGGGTGGTGGTCAGTCTGAACTCATTCCAAGAATTTAAATATTATCCCTTTTAACAATTTTTTTTTACTTTAACTAAAGTAAGCTCTGAGTATGTCCTAAATTTTCCCAAGTTCTGTGGGTAGAATTGTCTTGAGAATTGAATACTCACTATTACTTTAAGAACAAAAGCGGTCCTAAATTGTCTTTAGCTCACCTTTCCCAAAACTTGTTCCATGAGTCCCACAGATCCTCCAGTCAAAATTATTATGGCAAATGGCGTCCACATGGTTGGAGTCCGTGCCGTGAAAAAGTTGTTTTTCTGTTACATATCGTCCACCGTTATTGTCCTTCATCAAATTATTTTGCCTTCATTTGGAAAAAATATCAAACTTTAATTGAGTTCATAAAACAGAGATATTTGCTTGGATAAAGTAAAATAGTCCACAAGGCACAACTACAGGAAACGATTGGCAAAATGTTGAAAAACAGAAAATAAATGTTACATTAGCTATGCATGAAAATTTTATTTTGTAAGGCAAAAATGGTTGCATTTTAATGATAAGTTAAAACCAGATAAATGACGACAAGTGATTGCCATGTTCAGATCTACATACCACTGGAAGACTTCCCAGAGGGCTTTGTTCTGATTTCTCTTTATGCTGATGATTTTAAAGTCTTTCATAGTTCCACAGAAAAGAGCTTGAATGTTTTTAAATTCTTCTGACGTTTGTGAAAGGGGAATTGTCTAAAAATAATACAAACAGGAAATATTTTCAGCTGCACAAATCAACATGTTTTATCATTTAAAAAAATTGTGTTGCATACATGTTCAAAGGACCAACATTTAAAACTAACATTCGTATAAATTACAGATTAATAATGTGCTAAGAATTTAACAGCAAAGGGACAAGTGAAAATCGCTGAAACAATATAAGATGATCATAACAGATTGCGTATTCATATTACCGAGAATCCTGTTTGAGGGATCTGTGTCTTGTCCCAGTTGTCTGGCACAGACATAGTATTTACTGGCATTCTGCAAGAAAAAGGTTGAAGATTAGAATAGAGCCAGCTGAGGAAAAAAGACAATGTGGAAAATATAAGTGGGACCTTTATAAAAATGGAACTGCACATATCCTGTGCGAACACTTATTTTCAAACATATTCATGAAATCATGCATTTGAGGGTCCTACCTCACAGTTTTTGCTTGTACATCTGCAGCAGAAACAAACCGAGGACATGTTCTCACGAGCCTCTTTGTGCCGTAACCCTTGTTTGTTTGTAGCATGTCTGAGGGGAAAAGAATGTAACTTTGAATAAATCACAAACTAAGCCTGAGTGATGCTGCTGTCTCTACTGATGCCCTGGTACAGCAATGCAGAGAGGTCAGGGACAGTGTCCTTGAACTGGCAGACCACGGCACTGGGTGGTCCCTCCTTTCTACCAAAAGGAACTAGAGGATGTAATCTAACTTTTAGGGAATGACGCAGTAGTCTGCTTAAGGAAGTTTGTGATGAGCTGAGGGAAACTCAGTGACTGAAACTACAATGATTCACAACAGAAAGATAACACTTGAACCAAACTTAAACTCAGATTATAAAACATGTTAAATTTGCTGTCAGTGGTTCATTAGTCACAAAAGTAACCACACATGTGTCTGTTACACTCTCTTGATGGCCCTTTTAATAAGACAAGCAGACAGAAATGCTGACTAGAAAGTGAGTCACTTGCAAATTGACACTGCAAAACTATAAGTTGTATTGCAAGGGGGTGGGGGCATTTGAACCATATAGCAGAAATGTCTGGTTGCCACTCTAATCATTTTTTGTGTGTCTACAATATTTTGTCTATAATGAGTTACAGCTTTAAAGGAAAAACATTGAGCTCAGATACAATGGAAGTCAGTGAGAGTTTGGATGTGTGAACTCTGAGGAAAATTAAAAGAAAACCTTATGTCCTAGTAGGACACTAGGTGAAAGAAGCCCAATGGTCATGGAGTGAGGGGTGGGGTCACAAGTCGCCATCCCATTTCAGGGCCACATGGAGATGAAGGATGCAATCATCCATCCATCCATGCATTATCTTTACCCGCTTCTTCCATTTTGGGTCACGGGGGTCGCTGGTGCCCATGTCCGGCAATCACTGTGCGAGGGGCGGGGTACACCCTGGACAGGTCTCCAGTCCATCACAGGGACACATAGAGACACACGAGACAAACAACCATCCACTCTCTCACCCTCACCTAGGGACAATTTAGAGTTACCAATCAGCCTAACATGTATGTTTTTGGTCTGTGGGAGGAAACCAGAGTATCCCAAGAAAACACACGCATGCACGGAGAGAACATGCAAGCTCCACCCAGATAGGCCCTCGGACTGGGATTTGAACCAGGGACCTGCTCACTGTGAGGCAGCAGCTTTACCAGTTGTGCCACCGTGCTGCTCCCTTATTCATACCTATTGTGGCAATTGGGTTACCAAAAAGCCCACCATCTAAAGTTTCCAAAAATCTGCAATACGTAGTCTAAACCTTTTTTTTTTTTATTGCACTTTAGTCATGTTCAACTTTCTGTTTAAACTGAATGATGCTTCTAACGTGAAGTATGATTGAGCTACAGATGGCTTGGTTTTCTCACATTTTGCCCAAATCTCATTGTTGTGTATTGGACTATTCATGCAGATTTGTCTTTGCCGTACAACACATTGCTGACAAATGTTGCAGGATATAATTGATAGAAGAGTTATGCACGTATATCGTGATTTTTTTTCTTTTCCCCTGTACTCAGTGTTTTTCTGCGAAGTTGAACTTTGTAAGTCTACAGGTGCTAGCAAAACCAAACAAGAACACACACAAAAAAATAAAGTCACAGTATTTTGTCTGTTAACCATCTTTTACATTTCAACTGATTAAATCAAAACATACTTTTCAGCCAGACAGCTAAAACTATGATAAGTACGTCTGCCAGCTGGTTTGAATGTACAATAGTCGTAGACATTTTAATTAATTTTTGTCTGCCTTCATTCTGGACTACTGAGTAAGTACTTAAGAGATCTGTTTCGAACTTATTCTGATCCATGTGATGTTGCTCACTCCTAGTGGTATCTTCAACACTCTTTAAAAAACTAATGTTACATGGCTGTTCAGCAGATTGTTAGTGTACATAGTTTGTATTTTTCAGTTTTCAGTGTTTGTATATTGCTCAAATCCCTCGTGCGATCTTGACGAGCCATCGTGACAATGTTCTTTTATTCTATGCCTTTTTCTGTAGGTGAAATTGAGGACCCAGAGAAGTCAGATGTTTATAAAAAAATGCTTCCACTTCATTGATTCATTGGGTTTTAAAGAGTGCCTCTCCCCCCTCGACAAAATCTTCTTTAACCGAACATTAGTTCTTCAAGTCAGACGCCGTAGTTTTCATTGAGAAAACGGTGATTTATGTTCAAATTACAGAAATTTAAAAATTCACCATTTCTGGAGTCTTTTTTTTTTACCTTGGAAGCTGAGTGAATATGAATGTTTGCCTACAGTGAACTCCACCACATCTGGATTGTTCAGAAACGCCTTATCCAGATATTTACTGTCAACGTCTGCTGGTCTGAGTTGGCCGTCCTGCTGGAAGGGACAGACATGAAAATGTTCAGTTTTCATTGGGAATGATCAAGATGAGCAGGATTACAAACGGTTATATAAGAGGTACAGTTCGGGTTGAGCGGTTTCTGTGTGAACACCTCTGTAAAACCAGTTTTATAACCAGTTTTATGCTCTGACGCATACAGGAGGTGTGTGTGAGCACAATGCCAGGAAGGAAAAACAGTAGCAATAACCTTAGAGAAGCAACTTCCGTCTGTCAGCCTAAGACAATTCCAAACAATTTGGAGTCAAATATTATAAAGGATTATTAACAAGTGTAAAATATCTAAGGCATGTAAGTCAGTCTTCCCAGGAGTGGATGTTCCAGCAGATTCACCCCAAGATCGGACTGTGCAATGAACATAAAACCCAAGTGCTACATTTCAGACTCTGCAGGCCTCACGTAGAAAATTAAACATTGAACGTCATGATGGGACAATTAGAAATAGACCAAACACATATGTTTTTTTTGGAAAGGGTTTCTAAAAGATAATTTTTTTTTCTCTACAAACATGGCAGCACAAATTAGGTTTGTAAAGTTTAATTTGAATGAACCACAAACTTTTGGAACTATGTTCTTTGGACAAATGAGACCAAAGTAGAAATGTTTGGGATTGTATTGTATGAATTTGGTAAACTCACATTTGTACCGTACAGATTCCACTGTCCAAAATCATCCTGCCAGTACCAGAGCCACTCTGTGGTGTAGAGGGAGTCCGGTTCACTCACAGAGTTCGGAGTTGAGAGTCTTCTTACTTTGCGCTCTCCACATCTCATTGTGTCAAAATAAACAGGTGGGTTACCACTGCTGAAATATACAAGGCAAAAAAACTCATAATTCATTTGACTGAATCATAATGGTGCGCAACACAACCACCAAAATACTAATCGTAATGTTTTCCAGCAAAAACAAAACTTGTTTTTAGCTATTAATCAAGAATTAATTAAGCAATAAGATTGTGTTGATTTAAGCCAATTTTGGCCAACATTTTTTTCTGTTAGGATGAACCTTTAGGGCTTTTTAAAATAGTTACATTATTTTCCGGCATATAAGTCACATCTTTTTGCATAAATTTGCAAGTCCTGCGACTTTTACACCAAAGTGACTAATCTACTTTTTTTTCATATTCACAAACCATTTTTGGACTGACATCTGATGCTTTCATTAATTCTGACATGCACCAAATTAAACATTACCATTTGAAGCCACAAGAGGTGCGAGAGGAGAGCCCTCTAATCTTTGGACAACGTCTTATACGCTGGAGCGACATATACTGTGGAAAATACGGTAGTTTTTGAGACATCTCATTGGTGCAGTGGAGTTGGACCAGCTTACATGTGGTCAGAATGGAGTCTCCTTGGACTATGATTATTGCAGATGACATTGTGATTTGTAATGAGATTAGGGAGCAGGTGGAAGAGAGCTTAGAGAAGTGTAGGTATGTATGCACTGGATGGAAGACAAATGAAAATCAGAAGCAAGATGGTGCAAACTGCTTTTTTTGGGTAAACTTAAAGATGCAAACTTTTATTTATTTTGTACCATAATAGTTTGTCCTTTATTTATTTTTTTAGCAGCCTGCTTGACCCATTGATAACCATCAGCTGCTTCTGGAGTCCTACCAGCTAAGAAAGCCCTATAGAATGCTTCCCTCACCTGGGGTGTCCAACACTGGGCACCAACAACCTTGTGATGAAAGCTCAACAACGAAGGCACAGAACATGGCTCACCCAGACTTGATGTTCCTCACCTCCGCTGGGATGCAGCTGAAGCTCTTTCGGAGGTAGGAGTTTAAGATCATTCTAATGGGTTCTTTTGCCAGGCATTCCTAGTAAAACTATACATTTGGGTCTACTGGGTCTGTCTGGCACCCCCCCCCCCCCTACACACACACATACATCTGAACTAAAACACCACCAGGTGCTGATCAGTTGACAGCTCAGCTCCTCTCTTCATTCGAGCTTCCAAAATAAATGACTTCAAATTAGATGACTTAACTACAAAGTCCATCATTGATGTGCAGCCCAGGGTGTCTTTGTACCATGCACACGTATGGACACCCTTATATTGCAACATGGTGTTTGTGATAGACAAACCATCATGAAGACAGAAGTCCAACAACAAAACACCACTTCAATTCAGATCAGAGTGTATGTTTGTCTTAGTCATGCCCCTCCAGGTTACACTGTTGCTACTCAGTGGGAAAACTACAGGAGAAATTCAAAAAAGTTAAGACAGGTCCTCTGGACAGTTTATTTTTGTTGAAATGTTTCATCTCTCATCCAAAATAATTCAACAGTCCCAGGAGCTGCAAGAAACTCTATCATATAAATAGTTCATGGGTCAACCAGTTTGATGGTGCTCAGGTAGTTTCTGTAGTCCACCTCTTCCCCTTCGACACATTTTTCATTCTTCAACCTTTATTTAGACTGATAAATCACACTGAGCCTTGAAGACTCATTTACAAGTGAGACCTGTTTAGACGGACAAAAAGTAATAAAAGGTCACTTTTATTTATGTGTAGGATTTGGAGGCCAAAAAAAAATCCTATCAAACTCTTTCTCCTTGACTGAGGAGAAAGATCCTGATATTGAAAAAAACACCCCGCACATAGACACATATTGATGTAGACATTCCACAGGGGAGGGGAGACTACAAGAGTGGTGAGCATGTCAGGGACACTCCAGAGGCGCTGTAGGAGTTCTGATAAAAATGGTACACTCAGGCAGTTCCCTCTGGTGAGATCCGTAAACACTTTCATGCCAAGGTCGACCTGGAACAGCACCAGAGAGAATCCGAGAGTCCTGAAATGATGACACAATGTTTATTCAGCCGGGTCCTTCTGACAGGTCCACAGACTTCCTCGGTGGAAGGGAAAGAGAGTGGGCAGAGCGTCAATTTACAGGGCCTCCAGGCGAATTGAGATGCCAGTCAAGGCCAGCCAGGGAGCCGAATTCAGATAAGCAACAAATGTTTTGAGAACAGGCAGAACTTTACTGTGTCTGCCTTGAGTCTTTGCTGGTCCTCTCGAATCCCAAACGTCCAAATTAAGTGGACAGACGCAGGCAGTCTGACCAGGGCCACATTTTCTGCTGACAACTTCCTTGTTTGTTGATAGACCAGGAACCAGCCCAATCCAAAAAGCAGGAAACCAGTTATAATAAATCCAATAGTATATGCATCCTTGGCACTTGTCTTCTCGTCGAGAAAATTTTATCAATTGCGCTGAGAGGCCAACTGACCAGATCCATAGTAAAAATTTACAGTTCGGAAGATATGTAGAGAGAGACTCTGAAGCAGTTTCACAGACATGACAGAGCACAGCAAAGAGGAGGAGGGAGAGGAGAGGGAAAGCATCCGCCCTTGACAAGAGCAAGTGGTGAAGAATTTGAGGCAGTCATGGCCAAAGTGGTTCAAAACAAACTGATTCATGCTCAGTAATCCAGATAGAAAAATCCAACAGAGTTAAGTCAGGTCCTCTGGATGGTTTATTTTTATTGAAAGACTATAGGACTACAGCAAACAGCTAAGCACTATCAAACTAGTTGACCCTCTATATGAAGGTGTTATTTATAAGACTGAGTTTGTTGTGGCTCCTCAGATTGATAAAGTCTTTTGGATGAAAGACGAAACGTTTCAACAAAAAGAAACCATCCAGAGGACCTGACAAATTTGTTGGACTACACAATTTAGGTCATTTCCTCAAAAGAAACATTTTTGGAATTCAGTAACACTGATGTAAGCGTACGTGCTTTAATTTAGGATTATAAGCTACTGTTCCAAGTTAGAAATGCGTTTTAAGGTAAGGCTCATATGTCCCAGCTGAATGCAGCATCATATCTGGAACTCACTGATCGGTCGCAGCAGGTGATTTGTGCACACGTATGACAATTTGCATGTGCAGCGTATTCCTTGTGCAATTTGAAATAAGTACATGTACAAAACTGTTTATGCATTCGTGAATCGTGGTACACTTGTGGATAATATACGTATACAAATAATGTACGCTTGTGTGACTACGTTTGAGATTAATGTGTCTCCATGTCGCTGAAGTATCTGAGCAATTCAGAATGACATGCTTTATCATAATATTGTTGTAAAAATGAAAGCACATCTGTTTCTTGTCTTTAAACTTGCTAAGTTCAGGAGTAATCTCTATCCATCAATGTGCTCATGCTGAATGTTCCCAGAGTACCTGAAAGTGTTGCTTGGGTCACAGTAGTCCCTCTCGATTGTCTCGTTATCAGGCAGGCTGGTCCACCGATCACCTTCCTGAACCTGCCATCTGTACGGCATCTTGTCATGAGCATTGGTACATTGATCTGAAAACACATTAACAATTAACAAGAATACCTTTACCAACAAAGGGTTTCAGTAAGAATAGGTTAGTACTCACCCCCATGCTTACAGTAGCCTTGAACGAAGTACATGCATATCACAGTTTTATCTAGTCAGATCAAAAGAATACAAAATCAAGTTAGTCGTACAGTATTTCGAAGCATTTATTCTCTCATGACAAGCTTGTGTTTTTACCCGTAGCCGACTTTTGACATCTATTCTGTTCATCTCCACTTCTTCCAACGCTTGCAGCAGCAGCACCGTAATCAGAGAGACAGAAACTGTGAGGCAGCTGATGGTTGTTCGAGTTGCTGTTTTTCTTCTTGATAGATATCGCTTTATATTGCAGATCAATTTTCTTGGGCGTGTTTTGATCAGCGTTGCTGCTGGCTACAGTGTTGGTGGCTGCAGCAGAGACATCACTGCTGGGTGAATTAGAATCTTGTGGCTGATTTCCCTTGTGTCCCTCTTCAGTGTACAATTTTAAGGAACCAAGGTCAAAACCTTTCTGATCAATGGCAGCGGTTTGTTGTTTCCGTAGGCTGTCACCCATGTTTCTTCCATCTTCCTTGCTGCCACTGCTTTGTTCTAAAGTCTGACTACCATCACCTGTTGCACCAGGGTTTGTAGCAGAGATCTGGTTTCCAGAAAGTCTCAACGCTGCATTATTTGCGTAAATGGACTTCAGGGAGTGAATGAGTGTGAAAGGAACCCCTTCACCATTTAAGGTTATTAATATGTGGGAAGCTTTAAAATCATGGTTCCTGGAGCAATTGCAGTCTTCATTCATGAACCGCTCACAAATGTGAAGCCTACTGCAGAAGATATCTTCGCTCTGGCACTGACCAAATTTGCCACCATCGATATTGTAATCACGACATATCTGGTGAAAAGAGAAGACGACTTAAAAAGGGCTTAAAGTTGCATTGAAGCTTCTTTTTTGTTCCTCCCTTTGAGATGTGAAATTAAAACAAGATAAAAAAAATGATGATGCACATGTATTCAATATCTCAAATCAAAAGCTAATGATGTAATCAGAAAATTGTGTCTGGGTGTGTAAGATGTTAGTCTTACAGAAGGCAGGAGTGAGTCGTCATTCTGCATTAGCAGCGTACAAAGCTCGTCTCTGGTCAGACCCTCCAGCTCATGATGTTTTAGTACCCGTTGGTTGTGGTCAGAGCTCAGATCATGGGAAAAACTGCAGTCTTTTCTGTTATCAAATAATTTGCATACAATTAGAAAGAGTAAAGGATGACACTGAGAAGTTGAATAAAAGTTAGACAATGTTTATGAACACTTTTTTAATGAATTGGGACATCATCAGCCTCCCCACCATCACAGACGTCTACACCTCCAGATGCAGGAAGAGGGCCGCCTGCATCATGAAGGACCCCACTCACCCAGCACACAAGCTTTTTACTCCGCTCCTCTCAGGTATGAGGTTAAGGAGCATTAAGTGTAGAACCACTCGACTGAGGAACAGCTTCTACCCTGAAGCTGTTAGACTCATGAACAACCAGGAAAATCACTGTGATTAAACTTTAATTGGAGATTTTGACACTTTATCTGTGCTGCTGATTATCCATGCTGTTGATTCTTTACCCATAAGCAATTTGTAAATCGAACGATGCCGGAATGCAAATAGCGGGACAAATTGAGGTTGCTGACTCGTCAGTTGCCGACATTACTACAGGATTGATTGATAGGTGGGTCGAGGAGCCGAGGATGTTGGAATACACTTGGATCATCTGAGGTCATGTGGTTCTATTGGCTCTACCGGTTCTTTAGTCCTTGTTTACATTAACAAAGTTGCTCTTAAACTGGAAATACTGATTTAAAAATGCCATTCTCAAGCATTTTGCCTATTTTATTTTAGAACATTTCACACTAGGTTTAGATGAGAAAATATGTCGCTGAGACTAAGAATGGTTTTAGTTTGTTGTTGCACAAAGCACCTCCACCTCTTGCGGGGGAAAAAGAAGTGGTAGAACGACATTCTCGAAGCATTACACTCCTATTAAAGAAAGGTTATGAGCTGAAATTGAGATAATCATGCCATAAAACCTTCACTGTGCAATAAGTTTATGTAATCAATGAAAATTGTTTTTTCAGTAAAAACAACAAACTTGAGTAACAGGTGTCAACGCTAAACACTGTTTAATTTTTAAAACATTTTATTGTAATTTTTTTTCAGTTTAATACAATAAAGTTAAAGGTAATAATATCTATGGGGACTTCAGGCATACCAAGATTTGTTGGTTCAAAAACCACAAACTGCATTAGTGAGTGTAGGATTTTAACCAGGCACTAAAATAAATTAATAAAATATGTTAAATAAAAGTTTCAAATAAAATCTTCACTTTAAAGCGATGAATTCATGGAGACCCTAATCTCAAACTTTATATATAAAACATTTACCTTTCATATACCGGTAATGGACAGATACCGCTGAGAAGGAAGTATTTACAGAGGTGTAGCTCTCCACACGGCCCCTGACAAGCTTTAACTCTGCACAGTTTCAGACTGGTCCAGGCCACCACTTTCTGCTTCCCATTTGAAGAATAGAAGACAAACTTCTGTTGGTTGGAAATAATCTTGTTGGTGGACTCGCCTGGGAAGTGATTAGACATCAAATCGTCCACGTCCACAGATCCTGTATTAGCGCAGATAAACTTAAATATTTTAGACTCCATTCTTCTCAGGCTTCTTCAACGCTTCCTTTCACTTAAGAGACGAGACAAGACTGCAGCTTCTGAGAAGGAACTGCCCGGTGTACTTACTGAAAACCACAACAAAGGGAATCTCCGTGCTGCTGGCTCTCTTACCGGTAGTATTTGTTAAAGTATGAAGGGAGATTTTTCATTATGACTCATAACTACATCATGCCTACTATCGGCCAATCTCTAAACTCTCTATTCTAGCTAAGGTTTTAGAAAAATTGATAAACTCTCAAGTTAAGAAGTATCTGGATTATTTGAACATCTTATCTTCCCATCAATCTGGCTTCAGGAAGCAACACAGCACGACTGCTTCGTTGAACGTTTTTAATGATGTTGTTGAAGCATTAGATGCTAAGCACTACTGTGCTGCACTTTACTTAGACCTTTCAAAAGCTTTTGATACTGTGGACCATGACATCTTATGTCATAAGCTCTCGAGACATTGCTTTCTCAGACCACACTACCGCTTGTTTTTCTAATTACCTCTCAGATCGGAGGTGATGTGTTCAACATAATAGTACTTCTTCCAGCTGTCAACAATGGTGTACCACAAGGCTCAGTCTTGGGACCCAGCCTCTTCACAATCTACACAAGTAATGTAGATCAGACCATTCCTGATGCATCCTTACATTTCTATGCCAACGACACAGTTTTTTATAGTCGAGCTAAAACAGTTACTAAGGTTTTCCAGCTTTTACAGTCTGCATTTGACGTCATCCAGTCAGATTTGTTCCATCTCAAACTGGTGTTAAATGCTGCTAGAGTTTGTCAACATCATTGCATATCTCTCTTGTCAGTGTCATGTTGAAAACTTGATAAACAAATTGAAAGTAAAACTGTGTTTCTTTTTCAGAAAAAGATCTTGTCTAACTCTGAATGCTAGGAAATGCTTTGCAACTGCTACATTCCTCCCCTCCATTGACTACTATGGTGACATTATTTACATGAATGCTCTTGCAAGTACTTTGCAGATGTTTGATGTTGTCTATCACGATGCACTAAGATTCATAACTGGCTGTAACTATCGTACCCATTGCTGCACCCTGTATTCAATGGGCAATTGAACATCATTAACTTCACGCAGACTCTCTCACTGGTACATTTTCATCTTTAAATCACTTCTGGGTCTGTTACTTTCATATATCTTCTCCTACATGTCACGTCGTCAGTGCAGCTACAGCATGTGCTCTGAAGACATCATTACCTGCAGTGTCCCCTCAACCTTCTTCTTCTAAGCATTGTTTTTATCAGAAACATTTTACCTAACAGTGCCTACTGGCATTTTAACTCAGTTTTAACTCATGACCGTAGTTTTAAGGAGACTCTGAGTTATTTTATGAAAGATTTTAGACAAAGGAAGGGTGATTTTTACGTGTCTGCAACAGTGATGGGACCACGGGAAAGTTCAAATAAAACAGCTGTGTCAACAACACACACTCAGCGTTACCCGCAACTTCACCAGATCTATCAAAGATCTGGAGACTGATATAGTGGAACTAGAGCACCTCAGTGAAACCACAGGAAATCGAGAGCACATCAAAGCCCTCAAATCTAAAAGGTTAGTTTCAACAAAACTGCTGGATGCAAAAGTCCAAGGTGGGTTGGTCAGGTCCCGGATGCAAGAAATCACAGAGATGGATGCTCCTTCTAGCTTCTTCTTCAAGTTGGAGAGGAAACACGGGCAAAGAAAACTGATCCACTCTCTGTTGTCGGACACTGGGCAGCAGCTGAGCGAGCCAGGCCAGATCAGGAGGAGGGTTGTGGAGTTTTACTTCTCGTTATTCACAAGTGAATACGAGAGGAATGACGAGCTGTTCAGGGAGTTCTGCAGTGGACTACCCCAGGTCTCTGAGGAGACCAACGCCGACCTGGAGCGCCCCCTAGATCTTCAGGAGCTCAACACGGCCCTCCAAAGCATGCAAGGCCAGAAAGCTCCCGGCATCGACGGGCTCACTGTAGAGTTTTATAAGGCCTCCTGGGACATCTTGGCAAAAGACCTGCTGGATGTTTTCAATGAAAGCCTCATCACTGGTTCACTACCGCTGTCATGCCGCAGAGCAGTCATCACTCTCCTGCCCAAAAAAGGGGATCTGCAGAAGATTAAAAGTTGGCGCCCGGTATCTCTTCTCTGTACCGACTACAAAATCCTCTCCAAGGCCCTGGCAACCAGGATGAAAGAGGCAATGGAACAGGTCGTCCACCAGGACCAGACTTATTGCATCCCCAGCAGGTCCATGGTAGATAATATCTATCTGATTTGAGATGTTTTGGAAGTCTCCAGTTCATCGGGTCTGAACACAGTGTTGGTCTCACTTGACCAAGAAAAGTCTTTTGACCGCGTTGAGCACAGCTTCCTCTGGGAAGCCATGGAGGGGTTCAGGTTCAGCGCTGGTTTCATAGCCAAGATCCAGGTTTATACAGTAACATTGAGAGTGGGCTGAAAGTCAACGGTAGCCTGTGTGCTCCTTTTAGGGTGTATAGAGATGTTCTGCAGGGCTGTGCGCTCTCGGGAATGCTCTATGCGCTCTCCCTGGAACCCCTCCTTCAGAAGATCAGTTCGAGTGTTCATGGTTTTGTTTTATCTGGTTTTAATAGTAATATAGTTTTTTCCACCTATGCTGACAATGTTGTTTTTATAAAAAAAACCAAGACATCGACACACTAAACAAGGTCACTAAGAGTTTTTCCACCCTGTCAGCTGCGAGGGTGAACTGGGGAAAGAGCACAGCCCTCGCTGTGTGTCAGTGGCCTGAGGGGCTCCCAGTTCTCCCTCAAAACCTGCCGTGGAAGAGAGATGGTCTTAAATATCTCAGTGTCTATCTATGGAATAAGGCTGTAGTACAGAAAAACTGGGAAAATGTGGAACAGAAGGTCAAGAATAAACTGGAAAAATGGAAATGGCTGCACTCTAAAATGTCCTACAGAGGCAGAGTGCTAGTGTTAAACAACCTAGATGCATCACAACTGTGGCACAAACTATCTGTTTTCGACCCACCTCCAGGCTTGTTAGTAAAAATACAGTCTGAGGTGGTAGATTTTTTTTTGGAACGGTTGACATTGGGTGCCACAGTCGGTCCTGTACTTACCGAGAGAGGAGGGGGACAGGGCCTTGTCCACCTGGCCAGCAGAACGGCCACTTTTCGAATACAGTACCTGGCAGGACCTCCTGACACTGTGTGGAGGGACGTGGCCAGCTGTATCCTCAGACATGTGAGCGGGTTGGGGCTGGATGCTACTCTGTTTCTAGCCAATGTTGACCTTTTAGAGCTGAAGGGGTTGCCCCAGTTTTATCAGAGTGTTTTCAAAGTGTTTTCCTTTTTTAAACCAAACAAATAAAAAATGTATAATTCTCTGCAGTGGCTCTTAGAGGAACCTGTGAAGCGAGAATGGACGTCTGTAATAGCACGGTGCCGGGTCTGTCAAAAACACTGTGTGAATCTGGGACGATGACCCTGAGGCGGTTGGTAGAGATGGCTGGACCAGACTTCTTCAACGTCCGAGAGGTGGTTTTGTTGCTTGGGGTCCGGTCTGCCAGAGTGGTGCAGCGCTTCCTGGACCTGGTGAAGGAGAGGACGACAGCTGGAGAGAAGCGTGTCCTGCAGCTGTGGTCCACGGGGAATCGCCCGCCTGACCCAATGGACCCTTTCCTGGACATCCACCTGGAGCCTAACTTTGCGAAAGACAGTGGTCCTCTGCTACGCAACACAGACCCAAAGATGGACTTGTGCAGAACGGATCCAAAAGTACTTTATAAGACTTGTGTTAAAATCCTGAACAAGAGAATCCTGAACAAGCGTGTGGGACGACAAGCTCGGAGGTCAGAAGCCCCAGTGGAGGACTCTTTACAAACCTCCGACAAAAAAACGGACTGGCGATCTTCAATGGAGGATCCTTCACAGCGCCATTGCAACAAACTCTTTTTTTGTCGGTCATCAATCCCGAGGTTTTAAACGAGTGCCCTTTTTGCAGTTTGTCTGAGTGTTTTTCATGTTTTTACAGATTGTGTATGACTGACAGCTCTGTTTAATCGAATGATGAGGATCTTTAGCCTTTTTAAAACAGTTTTCACCAAATCTGTTTTTATTAATGGAGTACATTACAGCAAAGCCACTAAGTGTAAATCCATCCATCCATCCATTTTCTTTACCCGCTTATTCCATTTTGGGTCACAGGGGTCGCTGGTGCCCATGTCCAGCAATCACTGTGCGAGGGGCGGGGTACACCCTGGACGGGTCGCAAGTCCATCACAGGGCCACATAGAGACAAACGAGACAAACAACCATTCACTCTCTCACTCACACCTAGGGACAATTTAGAGTTACCAATCAGCCTAACATGCATGTTTTTGGTCTGTGGGAGGAAACCGGAGTACCCGGAGAAAACCCACGCATGCACGGAGAGAACATGCAAACTCCACCCAGAAAGGCCCCTGGACCAGGGTTTGAACCAGGGACCTGCTCGCTGAGAGGCAGCAGCTCTACCAGTTGCGCCACCGTGCTGCCCACTAAGTGTAAATCCCAAACTTTAAACTTTTTAGTGGCCAAATCAAAAATGGCTGACTTGTCTGGCAGGGACAGACTGCAGGCTGGACCCCAACTTGATGCCGTGGCTCTGGAAGTGCATCGTCAAGATCAGACTGGTGTTGGAGTTTTGCTTCCACAGAGACACTGGACACCTGGAGAACTTTGTGAAACTGTGGGGATTTAAGGTTTTATGCACCATTTCTGATCAGGGAGAATTACAATACAAGCTCCTCATGTAAATATTTTATTTTAAGCTTGTCCTGATCATCTTTTTTTTAACACTGTTGTGTTAACTTATTGTGTAAATAAAGTTTTGTTAAAAATCAAAATCTTCGTCTTTCTTCCTTCGCTTTTTTCCTCCCTTTTTTCATTTTTCTCCTTCTTCTTTTTGTTTATTGCTTCTACATATAAATAGTCTCTATAAGAACCTAAATGTAACTCTGGCCTGCACATGAGCTGTGATGTTTTATGTCAGGGGAAGTTTGTGTAGCAAGATGGCTCACCGTCGCCACCTTTAGGTCCGCTGAAGAGTTTCATGTACGGTAATAAAACCTTAAGGGTCAACATCTCTTGGCCTAAACTTCCCAGGAAGTCCTCAGTTTTAGATTAAAGTTGCCATTTTTTAAATTTTACACACATTTTAATTTGAACAAACTCCTCCTAGCATTTTTAATAACTGAAATTCTGATCAGTACAATTACAGGTGTAGGGAAAATATGTCAGTGTTAATAATAAAGTTATTTAACACTCAGTGGAGAACCACCCCTTTTAAAATAGGACACCTATTAAATTATAATATTTATCAATCTCAATAACTCCTAAAATATGTGAACATAAAACCGCACATACAGATAAAGTCTGAGGATTTCCATTGTTGGTTGTATTTATTTACAGAATTTTGAACAATTTGGGATTAAAAACTGATGTCTCTAAATTGATCTAATTTCAAATTTAACAATCTACACGTCAATATTGCTCAATCATTTTGGGACAATGTTACAATATCAGCTTCAAACCGCCAGAGAACAAATAATGTTTTTGGCCTTTCATTGGAGCTTTGCCTTGACTGGATTACAATTTTTTCAACACCATGACACTAAGCTTTTGTAAATTGTACATGCTCAATCTGCCCTAAACATCACATGAAAAATATTAGCCCACTTTAAACATAAATGCACATAAAATGAAGTGAAAGCAACCCAAAGAACATGAAGCAAATAGCCTCTTTCCCTGCTTTCCTTGAGGCTTTTTTATCATTTTATACCTGTCACAGGAAAAAAAGGATAATTTTGCATGCATTTATTGTGTAAATCAAGCGTTTACTGCATGTCTTTAATGTGGTATTTAAGTGTAACTTGTTTGCCTCACCCTATGCTCTTATTAACTCAGTCATGAGGAACACCTGAGGCAGCTGATGACTAATCAACCAATGGGGTGGTTGGCAATTGGGACTCTTGGGTGGTGATCAGTTTAGGAAAAAAAGGAGTGCAACTGAAGGGTTGGGAAGGCCTTTCTTTCCTCAGGGGAATGTGGCTTTGGGAAAAAAACAGCACCAGAGCTTGATCTGCAAAAGTCCTAATGAGCACATAGTCTACATCTGACAGGAAGTCAACTGTTATGGATTAAACATGAGATTTTATTAACTGTTTTTTTAGACTATGTCCCAAGTGAAAATCTGAAATAGCTCAAAAATAATTATTTGATGCAACTTTCTCATGTTTTATTAAGGGTCTTTGCTTGAATGCATCTGCATGTCAAATTAAAAGCTCCTTAATGGTACCATGCTCTGTTTGCAAACACCCAGGTTGAGCCAGAGAGTTAAGGTGTGGAGCAGCAATTTTTAAAATCACAAATACTGAATTAAATTTTATTTAAAAGTATTGATGAAGGTTTGTGCTGTAGGAGTGACAGAAAGCTTCAAGGTGGAGGTGGGAGTGCATCAAGGATCAGCTCTGAGCCCCTTCTTGTTTGCTCTGGTGATGGACCAATTAACAGATGAGGTCAGGCAGGAATCCCTGAGGACTGTGATGTTTGCAGATGACATTGTGATCTGTGGTGAGAACAGGGAACAGGTGGAAGAGAACTTGGAGAGGTGGAGGTATGCACTTGAAAGAAGAGGAATGAAAGTCAGCCGTAGTAAGACGGAGTACATGTGTGTGAATGAGAGGGAGGAGGTGGAACAGTGAGGCTACAAGGAGCAGAAGTCACAAAGGTGCAGGACTTCAAGTACTCGGGGTCCACTGTCCAGGAAAATGGGGAATGTGGTAAAGAAGTGAAAAAGAGAGTCCAGGCAGGATGGAGTGGATGGAGAAAAGTTTCAGTAGTGATTTGTGACAAAAGGGTGTCAGCAAAGGTCAAAGGAAAAGTTTACGAGACAGTGGTGAGACCAGCTACGTTGTATGGTCTGGAGACAGAGACATGGACAAAAAGACAAAAGAAAGAACTGGAAGTGGCAGAAATGAAGATGTTGAGGTTCTCCTCAGGAGAGACAAGGATGGATAAGATTAGGAATGAGATCATCAGAGGTACAGCACAGGTTGAACAACTGGGAGATAAAGTTAGAGAGACCAGACTGAGATGGTTTGGACATGTCCAGAGGAGGGACCGTGGGTATATATTGGTAGAAGGATGTTAGAAATGCAGCTGCCAGGAAAAAGACAAAGACGAGATATATGGATGCAGTTAGAGAGGACATGAAGGTGGAGTGAGGACAGAGGACCAAGTGAGATGGAGGAGGATGACTCGCTGTGGCGACTCCTGAAGAGGGAAAAGCCGAAAGATGAAGAAGAAGAAAGGTTTGTAGATGAACACAAATGTGTTAAGCCTATTAACTAATCCTTTATCACAAACAGGAAGTAATAAAATCTCACACATTCAAAAATGAATCATAAAATGTCACTGTTGATCTGTTTCTTGTAAAACACCTTCAAATGAAAATATATCTAAATGTAATATTTTAATATTATCAGTTCTTCACCATGAAGCAAAGTTGATATAAGAGGGTTACTGAATTATTTGAGCCAATTTCAGTGTATCTATCCATCCATACATACATCAATCCATACATCAGTTTATTCAGTCAATCACTGATCTAATCAGTTGGTCCGTTGGACATTCGGTAAGAAACAGTCGTTCTTTCCAAATCTATCCATCCATATCATCCTGACATGCAGTTGTTGCTTAAACCATTGGCATTACCTGATAGACTCAACACTGTGTGTGAACAAAATATCTAACGAGCCACAGAACAGATTAAAATGAAAACCAGAACATAATCATTGCACAGCTACAAGTAAGCAGCTCAGTTCAAGATGGCTGCCACAGGCTGTTGAGTCCTGTGTTACACAGGTGAGCAAAGTCATGTGCTTTTAAGCTATTCAGTTATCTTTATTAGTAAAATATTGATCTTAAGGTTTAAACTTTTAATGTTATGTCAGTTAAGTCCTGTTGGTCAAATGTTATCTTTCTCACTGCATGGTGGCATGAGCATGCCTTATTGTTTGAATGTCTTGGAGGAGGGAGCAGAGTTTTGATGATCAAGCAGATTCATTATTGTTAGGGTGAAGAGAGAAGACTGAATGGGGTGGTAGAATCCTGGGTGGTAATATACCAAACCCTAAACTAGCAATCCAAGTGGACTGAAATGTCGTCAGACAGCGGAACAAATCTGAATCCCTAAATATTTGGTCATCCCTTTCACTAACCAATGCATAATACAAAATGGTAGCTAGATTTTTGAAAGGAGGAAAATGGAGCTTCAGTCTCAAACTGAGGGCGTTGGAAACTTAAAGCTGCAGGTCTCCAGTGGTGATTGTATCTCTGACAAACTGAGTTCAGCACAGCAGCTTCAGTCTAATTTCTGCTGGCAGGAAATTAAAAGTCAACTATTTTTAGTGAGACACACAGGAAGTTGTAACGCTGCCATTCTTCGCTTGAGGGCGACGCCGTGCTGCGTGACTTCTTCGAACCAAAGGGCCGAAGATGATGAAAGAATTTCCTATAAGATTACAACTCACACTAAACGGGTTTTAAATTTCATAACAAACTCATTTATATTAATTAGTAATAAAATATTAGCATTTTAAATCGGTGTTTAGATTTTTTAATTGCTCAGGTAATTTCCAATATTTCAAAACATTTATACATTAGATTTTAGTGTTTAATAAAAATTTTTTTAAAAAGACAACTGATTTTGGGTTTAGTACAGTACAGTGCTGAATTAAAGTTTTTTTTAAGTATTTTTGCTGATTTCACTAATCCACGCTATGAAATTTGGGTACCACTTTCCCCTTAT